TGTGTGTGTGTGTGTGTGTGTGTGTGTGTGTGTGTGTGTGTGTGTGTTTGACAAAGAGAGAGAGAGACCCACAGAGGCTAATTAGGGTTATCTGCATACACATAGGTAAGTGGTTATTTACTGGAACATAGACAACTTAACTGTGGCTACACCATTGAAGAAAAGGACTCCCCTGCCATGATTTGCTTATATCTTTTTTTTTTTTAATTATTTTTCTTTTTTCTTTTTTGGAGCTGAGGATCGAACCCAGGGCCGTACGCTTGCTAGGCAAGCGCTCTACCACTGAGCTAAATCCCCAACCCTGCTTATACCTTTCAAGAATGGTCAGATTCCTTAATTCTTCAGGGATTTTCTTTGGAAACCTAGGCCCTCTGCAAGAGCAGCCAGTGCTCTTGGCCAGAAAATATTTTCTTAAGTGATTACCCCTTGTTCTGTTCCTCCGTCACTCCTGGATTAGTTGCTAGTCTAGAGAAATCCAGCTGTTGTTTCTGTCTTGATCTTGTTTCCCGTAACCTTACTGAACCTTCCTGTAAGTGGTTCCATAGGGCCACTTACAGGATATTTTATGTATACGATATCAACTTCAGGCAGTTTTGACTTTATAGTGTGAATGCTTTTTATTTCTTCCCATTAGCTTTATTTCCCTGGCTGACATCTCCAATGCAGTGCTGAACAGAAGTGGCAGAGAGGCACTCTCCCCGAGTTCCTAAACTTTATCTTAGCTGAAAGGCAGAGTCCTGATCTTGCCTTGTTTCTGATTTTAAGAAGAATGCTTCAAGGCTAGCCTGGTCTACAGAGTGAGATCCAGGAAAGGCACAAAGCTACACAGAGAAACCCTGTCTCGAGAAGAAAAAAAAAAAAAAGAAGAAGAAGAAAGCTTTTAGCTTGTAGTTTTTTGGTTTTGTTTTGTTTTTAGAGACAGCACCTCAGACTCTAGCCCAGGCTGGCTGGAACTCACTGTGTAGCCCCGGTGGCCTCAAATCCCTGACAGTCTTCCTGCCCCAGTCTCTACAGTGCTGGGATTTCAGGTGTGAGCTACCGCAGCCCTGCAGTCTGTGACCATTAATTGTAAACTTACTTTTGGGTTTGGTGGTGGTGGGGCGAACTTTTTCAGATTAAGGAAATTCCCTTCTCTTTGTGTTTTTCTTGGGTCTTTTTGTTTGTTTTGGTTTTTTGAGACAGAGTTTCACTGTATAGCCTTGGCTGTCATGGATCTCACTCTGTAGACCAGGCTGGCCTCAAACTCACAGAGGTCTACCTGCCTCTTGTTCCTGAGTGTTGGGATTAAAGGAGTGTACCACCACCTGGCTATTTTTCTGTGTTTTTTTTTTTTTCTTTTAAAGATTTATTTATTTATTATGTATACAAAAGAGGGCGCCAGATCTCATTACAGATGGTTGTGAGCCACCATGTGGGTGCTGGGAATTGAACTCAGGACCTCTGGAAGAGCAGTCGGTGCTCTTAACCTCTGAGCCATCTCTCCAGCCCTATTTTTCTGTTTTTAATCAATGAAAGATGGTAGGTTTTTGTCAAATTTATTTTCTGAACCTATTGAAATGATCTAGATGATGAGTAGCTTTCCTTTTGTTTCATAAAAAGTACAAAACCCCAAAGATGAAGGAAATGCATATGCAGATTTAGTGTGTGCTAGAGGTATATTAAATCGTTGAGGGAAGGGTGAAATTTTAATAAATAGAGCTAGGTGTGGTAGCTAATACCTGTAATACCCACACTTAGGAGGCTAAGGTAGGATTGAGATTTCAAGGCTAACATGGCCTATCTCAAAAACAAAAATAAAATAAAATAAAATTTTTCATGTATTGACTGGGTGTTTCTGTTACCAGCATCTTACTACAGGAGCTGTACATTTACAGAAGACAATGTCTGGAAGCTTCTACTTTGTAATTGTTGGCCACCATGACAATCCAGTTTTTGAAATGGAGTTTTTGCCAGCTGGGAAGGCAGAACCCAAAGATGAACACCGACACCTGAACCAGTTCATAGCTCACGCCGCCCTGGACCTGGTTGATGAAAACATGTGGCTGTCCAACAGCATGTACTTGAAAACTGTGGACAAATTCAACGAGTGGTTTGTGTCAGCTTTCGTCACTGCGGGGCACATGCGATTCATCATGCTTCACGACGTGAGGCAAGAAGATGGAATCAAGAACTTCTTCACCGATGTCTATGATCTGTATATCAAGTTTGCAATGAATCCCTTCTATGAGCCCAATTCTCCTATTCGGTCAAGTGCATTTGAAAGAAAAGTTCAGTTTCTTGGAAAGAAACATCTTTTAAGCTAAACGCAAAAAACCAGAATCACAGTGGGGTCTGCTCAGGAGTGTATGAATAGGAAGTAACTTGAAAAAACAGCCTGGCAAAACTTTACATGTCTCAACTTATCTGTATATTGTAAAGTTTCCTTTATATGTAACAAATCTACTTTTTCATGTTAGTTATCAACGTTAGCATTTGCTTGTAAATAGTTATTAGTAATTCAAATATTTTATTTCAAAAATTAAGAATAAACCTCTATCTTTACTGATTGAGATAATTTAAAAAAACTTAGATTTATTTTATGTGTATGAATGTTTTTCCTGCATACGTATACACACCATCTTCATGACTGTTACCTGAAGAGACCAGAAGAAGGCATGAGATCTCCTGGAACTATGACCCACTCATGTGTGTAGCCAGTCAAACCTGGGTTGTGCCAAACCACTAAGCCATCTCTCTGAACCTTTCCTGAGATAACATCTTTTTTTCCCCCAAGACAGCATTTCTCTGTAGCCTTGGCTGTTCTGGAACTCACTCTATAGACCAGGCTGGCCTCCAACTAACTGAGATCCATCCACCTGCCACTGCCTGGGATTAAAGTGCTGTGATTAAAGGTGTGAACCACCTCTGTCCAGTGAGGTGACATTATTTTATAATATAAAAGCTCATGGTTACACACGCCTTTTATCCCAGAGGCAGGCAGATCTCTGTGAGTTTGAGGCCAGCCTGGTCTACAGAGCAAGTTCTAGGACAGCCAAAGTTATACAAAGAAGTCCTCTCTTGATATTTTGCCATTTTTTTCCCCCAGAGCTGAGGACCAAACCCAAGGCCTTGCACTTGCTAGGCAAGCACTCTACCACTGAGCTAAATCCTCAACCCCAAATTCCTCTCTAATACTGGACCATGGGGATGGCTCTGTGGTTAAGAATATGTTCTGTTCTTCCAGAGAACCCGAGTTCAATTCCCTGTACCCACATCAGGCAGATCACAACCATCTGTAACTCCATCTCCACTGGATCCAATGCCCTGTTCTGACCCCCACAGTCACTGCACTCAGGCCCACACACCCACATGCAGACACACCATAAATATATATAATTAAAAGTAAACCCAACACTGACAAAAACCTTTAGTCCCAGCACTCAGGAGGCAGAGGCAGGCAGATCTGAGTTCTGAGTTCTAGGCCAGGCTGATCTATATAATGAGTTCCAGGATAATCAGAGGTATGTACAAAGACCCTGTCTCCAAAAAAGAAAAGAAAAGTAAGCCAGGCTTGGTGGTACACAACTTTAATCCCAGCACTTGAGAGGCAGAAGGCAATGGATCTCAGCTTGGCTACTTAGTGACTAGTCAGGGCTACATCATGAGATATGCCTAAAAAAAAAAAAAAAAAAAAAAAACGGGCAGGGGTGGCTGGCTCAGAATTAAGAGCACTTGCTACTGCATAAGAGGACACCTGGGAGAGAGGACCCTAAAGACCCGAGATCCAGATGCACCGGCTGTCTTAGTTCCTGGACCCTGGAAGCTGGAGGTAGACTGAGCAGAGAACACCGCTGGACTGCGCCACGCCTTTCCCAGACTCTGTAAACTATCCATTCACTTGTAAGTTACCCCACAAAATAAACTTCCCTTTTAACTAAAAAAAAAAAAAAAAAAAAAAGAGGACACCTGGGTTTGAGTTCCAGCACCTACATGATGGTTCATTACCATCTATACCATCAGTTCCAGATCTGGGACTCTCTTCAGGACTCCTGGGCTTTCTAATCCACAGATAAGCCTTAAGATGGCCATCACTGTACCAACTCTAGAAACCAGAGTTTCTACCTGCCACCACCTCCCCCCCCCCACCCAGTACAAAAAGAAAGAAATAAAAATAGAGTGTACTTGAGTGAACCACAGCCCATCAGAACTCTGAGGTTCGAGGACCTCTACAAGGATTTGGTGTCTTGGTGGAGAGTTTCTGCTGCTATGCTGACAAGGCCCTGGACTGAACAAAGTCTTCATGGCCTGGAGGGAGAGGTGGACACACCACTTGCGGCCCTAGGTCTAGCCCTGTGCTTGCTGTCATCTTAACTGCTGTGAGGCATGACTTGTGTGGAACATCCCAAGGGTGGCCTGAGGGCTGCCAGGACACTCCAGGCAGATGTTTATAATCCTGTTCCAGAAGCAAAGCTGAGGTTTGGTGATGGACAGGCCCCAAGCAAGAAAAAGACTGAGCAGATTCCATCGCCATTCTGCCTCTCCTAGGGGAAAGCCATGGGCAGCTTGGCCTGTGTAAGCACACCCCAAAAATCCACCAGGAAGAAACACAAAACAAGATCCAGAGTCAGGCTGTCCCGAGCACCCACCATGGCCCTTCCTGACTCACCGAGTCACCTGTCACACCACTGAACTGGTCTCTGCTCTTCAGGCACAGTCTGGGATCATACCTGCCTTGCAAGATGACCACAGCAGTTAAAGTAGGTACCCAGTTAACCTGGCACCGCGACTGCCTGGGTACTGGGTTCTCCAGGCCCACACACACACAGCCACTCTTGGCCTTCCCATATCTGATAGTACCGTCATCACATCTTGAGACCTGTCATAACTGTCACGTAATGCAGTCAGGACTCTTACTGGCTGAGACATCTGTGGAAGATGAAAGGGTGAGGTTCTGGTGCTAACCTTGCTCTGCCTAGCTGTGAAAAACACAACCCGGAACTGGGGAGTCATGGGCTCTGTGTACACAGATACTGCCTCCTAGAGAACACAGATACTCTCCTCCTGTGGGGAGATGGGACTCAAGGGTAGAACACAAAATACAGGCAAAAGCAAAACCTGAGAGGCAGGAGATGTGGACATCCAGTGTTTGCTGTTAGAGAAATTGCCATCTGCAATAAAATTACATGCTGACTATTGTTTTCCTGCAGGGGGTGCTGTCCGCTCAGTAACCCACAACAGACTTGCCAAGAGTTGGCAAGTCGTCACAACCAAATGCTGACATACGTGTTCTTTGCTGTGTGTCTACTTATTAAATTGTTGGCTTGGCCATAAGCCGTCCCAGACAGATTAAGGAAACAACACTGTTCTTTAAAATCATGAAAGTGCATGTTTCCTACAGCATGCCTATAATCACTTGAGAAATTCACCACCCCAGCATGTCTACCACAAGGCTTCGAAGCAAAGCTCCGGCTTTCCAGGTTGTCCTCTCAGCTTTAGAAAATGTCCTGCTGGGACCTGGAGCTCTCATCTGTGGTAGAGAGCTTGCCTGGAAGGCACAAGGTTCTGGGTTAGATTCCCAGCACCATGAGGAAAACAAAAGCAATGGATTCAAACGTACATTATCTACCTCCCCTTGTCTGTGGAGACTGTTCAAACTCCTAGTGGATTCCTTCTTAATTCCCCACTGATTTTGTGTATGCATGTTCATGTGTGTGTGGAGGCCAGAGTGTTGCTCAGACATCACCCACCTTTTTTGAAATTTACATTTATTTACGTTGTGTATGTACCACCGGTAAACATGGAGGTCAGGAACCAACGTGCAGGAGTTAGTTCTCGCCTCTGACTCTGGATCCCTGGGATCAAACTCAGGTCGTCCACCGTGCTCTGGACTTACAAAGGCTTTATAACCCCCTCTTCAGTGCTGGGTGTCAGTCACGGACATGCTCAGCTTCCCCAGCGGGTTCCCGGAAACACTGACGGTACTTAATAGAACCAAGCAACACATAGACCTTTTTTTCTTTTATCCTGTCCATATATAGCTGGGATAATGTAACTTATAAATTAGACACACCAAGAGGTTAACAACAGGGCGAGAGAGTATAGTTCAATTGGAAGAGTGCGTACCCAGCATTCATCAAAGCCTGGGGTTCCCATCCAATAGACTAGGTGTGGTAGCACCAGCCTGTAATCCTAGCGTTTGGGAAATGAAGGCTGGGGAGGTGTCAAAAGTTCAAGGCCATCCTCAACTACATAGACTGTAAGGACAACCTGGTATATATGAAAAACAATATGGCCTCTGACTTCTTTGAAGAAGAATCTCCAGAACAGGATTGTTGAGTTCTAACGAAAAGGTCTCTGGTTCCTAGCTGAACGGGGCTCAAGGCCTGGGCTCTCATTGGGCCCTGGGGCCAGAAGTCTAACATCCATTTCCCTCTAGAGGGGGAAGAGGTGTATCAAATGACCTCTAGGAACTGATGCTCCTGTGATACCTTGAGCGGAGCTCTAAGGGAAATGGGAGCAGGTGCAGAACCTGGAGCTAGGTGGCCCTGGAGCTGTGTGAAAGTCTGTCAAAGGAAGGAAGGAAGGAAGGAAGGAAGGAAGGAAGGAAGGAAGGAAGGAAGGAAGGAAGGAAGGAAGGAAGGAAGGAAGGAAGGAGGGACCCTTCACTCACCTTCTCAGAGGCCTTCAACCTTTGCCCTTGTTTCTGTGTTGACTTTTTATACTGAACTGGGCCTCTTACATGTCAGGCAGGCCCTTTGCCAGCCAGTACGTTTCATTTGTTTTCTAGGTGATCTGGCCTGGAACTAAAATTCTCCTGCCTCATCCTGTACTGGGGTTACAGGTGCGTGCCACCACACCCGGCCTGATATAATGTAGACATTTTTTTCTTTCTTCATTTTAATTTCTTTCACTATTATTATTTGCAGTAGTAATTTAATTTTTTTGGAGATTTTGTTTAATTTTATTTACATGAGTGTTTTGCCTGAATGTGTGTCTATGGACTGTCTGTGTGCAGTGCCCTTGGAGGGAATCGACCGTAACTGGAATTACAGCTGTTCTCTCTTTCCACCCTGTGGGTTCCAGGGATGGAACTCACATTGTCAGGCTTAGCAGCGAGCACCTTAAACCCAGTGAACCATCCCACCAGCCCACTTTTAACAGATTCGAAGAGAACCCAGTTCCACAGGAGAGATGGGTCCACCGTTTCTGTCTCATTGTGTCCCCAGACACTTCTCTCACCGTTTCCCAGCTACCAGGAGATGGATACTTTTGTTTTCCCAGAACCCCCCACCTTCATGTTCCACATCACCACAGGTCCAAAGCAACAGAACCACACACCACAGAGTGAAGCCTCAGAAACCAGGACCAGGAATAAACCTCTCCTCCTTCTAAGTTGATTCTCTCCGGTATTTGGTCATAGGAACAGGAAACTGACTAACCCAGGGGTAGAGAAAACAGTGTGCCCAGCTGCTGCAGAGCCAGGGATGCGCCCTGGAGCCATCCAGTAACCCCTGACCCGGGAGAGGAGGGAGATGAGAGTAAAACAATGAGAAAGTAATGGAGGGGAGCTATCACCCGAATGAGAAAGGTCCATCTAGGGAATCTGAGTCCAGCCAGTTAAAAACCCATCCCCGCCTTTAATCTCAGAGCTCAGGAGGCAGAGGCAGTGGCAGAAGGATCTCTGTGAGTTCAAGGCCAGCTTCATCTATATAGTGAGTTCCAGGATAGCCTAGGCTATAAAGAGAGACCGTCTCAAAAACAAAACAAATGAAAAAACCCACAGGGGCAGCTTTAAGGTGGCCAGATCAGAGCTGGGCATTGGGCTGAGTGACGATGGCTGGTGGACAGTGAAGAAAGCTACCTGGGGTGGACCAACCTGGGAGTGGCCAGACACCTGGAAAGTGTTGTAGCTGTTCAAACAGACAAGAGATAAGAGCAGGGCAAAAGAAGGAGACATAGGGGGCGGGTTAAGTTGTCAGGTATCTTTAAAGGCATGGTGATGTGTGATTGGAGCAACAGCTGAGAGCTCACATCTTGATCCATGAGAGAGAGAGAGAGAGAGAGAGAGAGAGAGAGAGAGAGAGAGAGAGGCACAATGGGAATGGCATGACTCTCTTGAAATGTCAAAGCTTGTCCCCAGCCTCCCTCAACAAGGCCATACCTTCTAATCCTTCCCAAACAGTTCCACCAGTTGAGGAACAAGTATTTTACAAATATGGACCTATTGGGGCTATTCTTAGTCAAACTACCACACCAGGCAAAATGTAGAACTGCCAGGTTTTTTTGTTTTTTGTTTTTTGTTTTTTTAGGTTTGCATGTGAAATATTCCACACAGGTTCATGTTTGAACACTTGGGCCCTAGCTGGGGGTCTCTGTTTTGAGGGCTCGGTTTGGGGAGCCTTTAGGAGGTAGGGCCTGACTGAAGGAAATGGAAGGGAAGGAAGCTTGAAGATTTTTGTTGTTTTTCCGAGACAGGGTTTCTCTGTGTTGTTTTGGTGCCTGTCCTGGATCTCGCTCTGTACACCAGGCTGGCCTCAAACTCACAGAGATCCACCTGCCTCTGCTTTCTGGGCAGAAGCTTAAAGATTTATAGCCCAACTTGGCTTTATCCTCAATCTCTCTACTTCTCTACACATAGCCCAGCTCCACGTAATGGGCAGAGTCCCAGTCTCATGCTTCCCCATCCTACACACCATGCTTTCCCTGCAAAGGCCTGTTCCCTCTCAAACCATGAGTCCTGACACATTCTTTCTCCTTCAGCTGTTTCTTATTAGATATTTGGTCACAGCAATGAGAAAAGTACCCAAGGCTGGGCAGTGGTGGCACACGCCTATAATCCCAGCAGAGTGAGGCAGAGGCAGGTGAATCTTTAAGTTCAAGACCAGCCTGGTCTACAGAGCAAGTTCCAACACAGGCAGGGCAACACAGAGAAACCTCATCTGAAAAACAAACAAACAAAAACTGTATAAAGGGTGGAGTCCTGCTGTGATGAGCCTGACTGTGTGGCTCTTAGGTCTGCAGAGCTGGTTTGTGGGAGGAATGTAGAACACTTCAGATCTGCAGGCTGGAGAACCTAGAACACATACATAAGGCAGAGCTTCATGGACTCTTCTTGGAACAGAATGCTTCTAGGAACTTGGGCAGACAAGATTATACTCATGAGGTTTCAGAGGGTAACAGGGATTCTACCCAGAACTAGACTAAAGGTCATTTATGTTACATTCTGGCAAAGACTCAGACTGTGTTCTGCCTGTCTCCTAAAAACTTCAATAAAGCTGATTTCAAGTGTAATGGATTATGGGGCTGGAGAGATGGCTCAGTGGTTAAGAGCATCAACTGCTCTTCTAGAGGACCCGGGTTCAATTCCCAGCACCCACATGCAGCTAACAACTGTCTGTAACTCCAAGTCTGACACCCTCACACAGCCGTCCCATATATGCCTAACTCCAGCACTGAGCAAGGGGAATAGAAAAGGATCCTTGGGCCTCACTGGCTGGCAGCCTGGCCAAGAAACGAAAGCTTAGGAGTGCCAGGGAGACCCTACCTCAAAAGAATAAAGCTGAGGGAGGTAGAGGAGAACACCCACACTCTCCTCCTCTGGCCTCCACACATGCACAGGCAGGCATCTACACACGTGTGTTCATACACAGAATACACACACATTACACACATACACACATAGTAATGGACTAATTTGCTTGGCAAAGGAAATTTCAACACAGCATAACATTGGTTGTGGTATAGTTACTGCTCACTGTGTTTAGTGACGTTTATAATGAGAATTCAAAGAGAGAAGAGCAGAAAGATGTGAAAATGTACTTGGGTAAGGAAAGGAGAATGTTAAAGCTGGAGACAGGGTGGACAAGATGGGTGCTGTAGCTATTAAAAAATTAGCACAATTAAGGAGAAGCCTCAAATTTGCATTTGAGCTAAAAGCTAAAGGTGCCTTGAGGGCAGGACCTCACCCATGGACAGCTCTAGAATGTAACAGTGAAGAGTCATTTGAAAAGAGAGCATTATCATAGAGAGCCTCCAAGGCATCCTGCTCAAGCAGGGCCACCTGGAGAAGCCTTTCTCCAGTTCAGCCAGGTAGATCTTCCAAGGTCCAAGGGACCAGGTTACATACTGAGTTGGCAGCAGAACATGGTGTTATTCATATGGTTCTTGTTTGCAGGAAAGCATGATGCCAAACAGGGACTTCACTGAATGTGGTGGTGCACAACTATTTTTTTTTTTTTAAAGATTTATTTACTATGTATACAGCATGTATGACTGCAGGCCAGAAGATGGCACAAGATCTCATTACAGATGGTTGTGAGCCACCATGTGGTTGCTGGGAATTGAACTCAGGACCTCTGGAAGAGCAGTCAGTGCTCTTAACCTCTGA